TAGAGCTAAGATTAAAAACATTGTGTGGCTAAATTTGAATGGTTCCATTATTTAAATATGAACTCCCACGAACAAAAAATAATATTTTCGTTATACTAGATAATGACAAATTAAATTTAGATGTCAAGTTTTTGGTATGTTAATTATTATTTTTTATATTTATCACTAGTATTGCCCGCGGCTCCGCCCGCGTTCAGATGACCAAAAACCAAATTCTTAGGTTTTACATATTAGTATACTTACATTACAGTTTTTGTATTTTTTCTCAGAAATGAGATATTTTCCCGCGGTAAAAAGTATCTATATGTTGACTCGGATAACCAGCTATCACCATACCTAATTTCATCAAAATCCTTCAAGTGGTTTTTCTGTGATGCGGTAACAGACAGACAGACATACAAAAATTATAAAAACTATAGACTCGGCCTCTGTATCGAAAATAATGTTTATTTCAATAAGATTTTCCAAAAAATATTTTATGTACAGATTCGGCTTAGTTACAATTTTATTATATCTATAGATTACTCTACGGACAATTTTAAATGTTTAATTCTGGAATATATTTTAATTGCGACGTAAAAGCATTTTATTTATTCGCATATTACATTTAGTTAATAAAATATATAGAGATATTGTTAAAGTATGTACTGTCTAAGCGAAATAAAATCTAAATCAAAGAAAATTATTCAAATATATTCTTTAATACAATACGAATAGGGGTGTAAATTGAATATGAAATATTTCCTTATACGTTTGACCTGATAAGGTGGCGTCTTAATGACGTCAATCGAAAGTAATTGTAAGCATAAATGATTTAAAACTGTGGGACATTCGTAAATGCAAACGTATCGAAATACATGGTATTGTTTGTATGTAAAGTGTTGTTGCAAAGTTTACTGTAATAAATAATTAGATAAACTAAATAAGAATTAAATAAATTAAAAAATAATTTACTAAAAATATAATAACATGAACTAAGATATATTAAAATAATTCAAAAATGTAATAGAGTAAACTTGTAGAGTCGCTATATTGTATTTTTGTTAGTTTTTTGAAATAAAACTATTTTTCGGCTTTCTTCGCGGACTTATTTTGATTTTCAGCTCTCGACGTTTCGAATGCTTTACAGTAATCATGGTCACAGGAGAGAATAAGGTTTTAGACGTCTCAAAGCAAAAGCACGTTGTTACAGACAGCAAAAATCAAAATAAATCTGCAAAAAACCCAAAAAATATATTTGTTTAAAATTTCAAATATAAATCTAAGAAAGATAATAAAGATACTTGATTAATTTTTGTATTGTATTGCTATGGCATAGAGTTAGCGCTTCAATTACAAGAAAGAGCAAAACAATAAGAAAACAAAAATTATAATTTTTGTTTAGAGACCGCTTTTTAGTATTTATTATACTTTCCACTGTGGAAGAAGCCCTTCATGGTAAGATAGACACCATAGCCATCATAGTAATGGTTATCGATCTTCAACGATAATGTTGAGAATGATTTATCATAGGATCGTATTATAGTTTATTCAAATAGATTGCTAGTAAAAAGTGTCTGATAAAATTTGTATACTAAAAATAAATGTTACCCGTCTGTCCGTTCATCTTGGAAAAGAGTTATTACTTCTTATATATAGGTAGGTAGGTATAAATATTCTATATGAAGTAATTCGTAATAACAAAAACTTCAAAAATTTTTGTTTTCTCTTTTTAAAAATTGTTTTTTTTTTGTGTTTCAATTTAAGTGTTAAACAAAGATTTTTAGACTGGTTGTTGCTGATTATTTACAAATATAGTATTACTTTTGTTTAAGTACTAATTTAACTAATACGGAGCTAATCGCACTATTTAATCTGCCCTTTAATCGATAGACCTTACAAAGTCGCGGAAGTCCGCAACGTGTGTGGGCCCTTTGATATGGCCGACCAAATTAAAATGCAGCTCATTTAAACACGCGCAACGAATATGAACCTTGCACCCTTGTAATAGAGCGGACTGAAATCTACCAAAAGCATATTAATTTTGATGCGATAATAATTTTAATAGATGCCGTCGGAAGCTACAAGTGGCGAATCCGAAATGCGACGGACGATTTTCAAAGTAAGCTTGTTAATTCAAACACTTCCTGCCGATGTTTTTATTTATATTTCTCTTTGATTTTGTTGGGTGTTTTGCTACAAGTGTCGCCTCGGACGGATATCTGGCCTGAGATCTGCCAGATATCTTAACAGTTACAAATAGTTTTATATTCAAACATTAATTTTTAATTGTCAATCTGTCATGTTGTTCTAAATTAATTTTTTGTCAAAGAGCCACTTTAATCTGTTGCCTAGATTTCACTTTTAAATATTTAAAAATATATCTGTATCATTAATCATAGAAATTGATTGAAATATCTTACCTATCGCTACTATTCATACGTGTTTAAGCGTTACTCAACCGATGCCTAGTAATATTTTGGGGGCAAAGTAAAGGGAGAGGCAGAGGTAGCTCAGTGGTAAAGTTCTCGCTTGGGAAACCGAGGTGAAACGGGTTCAAATCCCGGGTCTCGCAACTCTAATATTTTCATGTGCGAATCATTTCCAACAGGCGAGGAAAACTACATTTCTGAGAGAATCTAGCGAGTTTTCAAAAAGACGTGTGCAGTACGCTAACCAGGTTTGCCAACGTAGTGGATTAAGGCCTGATCCTCCTCGTATTGAAGGAGGCCCGTGCTCCGCAGTAGGACGTTAAAAAGGCAATACAAAGCAAAAATAATCAGTATTATATTATAAAAGGTTTTCGAATACTTTCAAGTGTAACTACAAATAAGCCCGATTCATAGGTTAACGTATGATGAACAAACAAACATTTATCAGTTATGAAGAATAGAATAACAATTCGCAGTACCTATGGCGTATCATTTATTACAATGCAGCGCTACAGTTCGTCTGCGCCGTGTGTCAGAATGTATCGGTTTCGGAGTGCGGATTGTGATATGACGCCCCCACTGACAGCTTTGTTTCAATTTACCCCTTAGGGTTGCTACAGAGCTTTTAAAATATTATTTGAACTTTTTTATTGTTATAGAAGAAAGAAGCTTAAGCTTTAAGCTTTACAGGAATGTATGGGCTTGCTTTAATTGTGGTTAGTTTTAGACTTTATAACACATTCTTCAATTGTAATAAAATTATTCCTATACATATGGAAAATAAGGAAAAGTAAAAATAACACAATTTATTTAGTTTCAGTTAATTGTTTATATTGAATAATATTCACTCGATTATTTTTATTTTAGTAGTTTTTGATGAGATTTCGCAAATTAGCATATTTGAAATGAAAATCTCAAAATATTTATATATCATTAAGGCATTAATTTAAAGTAATTTTAGAATCATTGCCCAATGAGCACAATTTTAGTTAATGAAAATAATTTCCAATCTCCTTATATAATAGTAATATAAATATATAGGTAAATATGTTGGGACATTAACACACAGTATCAACTAGTTCCATGGTAAGCTACGAGGCTTGTGCTGTGGTTACCAGATCGTTGGTACACTACACATATATAACTATAAATATACACATATTACAAATATGAGCACCCATGAGTGGAGTACAGACATTTGTGCTCATTACACAAATACCCCCAACGGGACCCTAACCCGCGACCGCTGGCACAGCGAGTAGGGTCACTACACACTGAGCCAAACTTGTCGTCAAAGTAATCTGGTGACATTTCATATAAGATATTGATTTATAGCCTAATTTATTATCATTGCTGTGTTAATGCTTTAATGCTTCTATTTTTATGAATTGTAGAATTATTTTTTACAATGAGGGCAATAAGAAAAATATTCATAATTTATGATATAATAACACTTATTATGATAATATAAGCTTTATAATTAAGATTTAACAAGTCATGAGTAGTAGTAGTATATTATAGTATAATAATAATGATAATTTATCAAAATAGTATTTTTAGAAGTATCAAAAATTGTACGAAAGTCGTTTTACTTCGTACACCATGAATTTCTTGTCGATAAAGTCGTTTGCAAGTGCTAAAAAAGTATATTTTTATGATAGGGTAATGCAAAAATATATGAGTAAATCGATGTTACATCCAAACGATAAAGTGTTTATTTTTCTCAACTTCATATGGTTTTATTATTATTTAAACAGACAGCATAAATGCTTTATATTTTAATGAATAAATATTGACAAATAATATATCATTCTAAAAATCAAATGCAACAACCCTAATACCTTCCAATAAAAATCAATCAGCGTTTACCGATGATAGTTACACGAATGTTTTTGTGTGAGTGCGATCAAAGGGGGGATGATGTGAGGGGTTACGCAGATAGAGCACGATGGAGGGTAGTCCAATAAATACGCTTTTATCTTTGCCAGCCATTTTCAAAAGACAATAGACAGGTTTAGTTTGGTTTTCATTTTTATTTTTACCGCGTATCCTATCATCGTTTAAATGAAAAATAAATTGTCCTTGGTTTTTTTCACATGTAAGGTTTTTGATAATTTTTTGAATATATATATATAATGGAATTTTGAATATATAATGGAAGAAAAGCTTATTTTCTAATTCAAAATTATATTATTTGTTAGTTATAAATGATAGCATAACAGATATTTTGTCTTACATTTAATTGGTGTGTACCAAGTAAACTGTAGAGTAAATAAATAATCGAGTCTAGATAAAGCTCCATCAAATACATATATGAATAGTTTTGCATTACGCATACAAAAGTATAGATATGGAACATCCACTCGTGTTGCAACTAAAATAGCCAACACAGAGCCCTAGTCGATCAGAGCACTCAATTAGTCTCAAATCGTCCGTTTGTTACAGGAAGCGGCGAGAACATTCTACTTCAAAGCCACATTCGACATCAAACGACCCCGCTTCAATCCCGAGTGGCTATTAAACGCTAATTCAATCATAAAAACAAACATGACCGAATATTTCCGTACAATTCGCGGTTGAAACTTACACATGAACGAACAAAACGCGGTCGAATGTAAAGAAACAGAGTCTGGAGAGATGCAAACGGTAGTGTCCAGTTACGTGGCGCCGAATCTGATTCGACAGGAGAGGCTGGATGTCCACTACTCTGCGGATAGCTACACTGAGTACCAGTACGGTGAAGAAGTGGACAGAACAAGTAGTCCAGACACGGATGAAAAGATCAATGTCGATGATGAAGATAAAGATGAACTGGTCATAGCTGATGATGATGTGTCAGAAAGGAATGAAGTTTCCATCGAAGAAAAAGAAGAGGAAACAGAAGATAAAGATCGGAAGAGTGATAGTACTGAGAGGGAAGAGAGCGGTGAACCGTCATGGCATCCTCATGTGTACGGAAAACCACCGAAAAAGCCCACTCCTCATACAATAGAATATATTTTAGGATTATCAAAGAACGGGGACGTGTCTAAGGAAGAACCGAAGCGTGTAGTGAGTCAATTAATGAACGTTAAGCGTAATTTCGATAAAAAAACTTTTTCATATCAAGAAAAAAGTACGCAAGTGCAAAATCTGTCGGACAAAAAGTTTAGTTTAAGTGTGCATAAAAACAAACTTCAAGAGCAACTATTGCAGCGCGGTGTTCGAACTAATGAGAGTGAATATGACAAAGTGATTGCGTTCAAGTCTGAGGAACAGCCGCTCAACCTTTCTGTGCCAAAATCTAAAGATACACCGGGATGGAGCTCTGGCGTGGACGAAGATAAGTTTAGTAAGGGTAAGTTAAACTGTCTTACATATCGACTTAATATTTAACACTAAATAAAACTACTTATTGAAACCTGTAAGTAACAATGTTGCAGAATGTTGGTAAAATTTAAAAAAAAAACAAAATTTAAACACCGTTTTATATTACTATCTTGATTAAAATGGCTACAATGTTAAGTTTGAATTTTAATTAACATTAGCAGTCGCCATATAAAAATTAACAATGCAAAATGACACATGGACATACCTACTCGTATATTTTTGTCCATTTTTATCATTTTCAATATAAACTCACATTCTGGAAATCGTTAGTGTGCAGCTACAATTTGAATTGACTACTTGTTAGATTTAAATATATAATTTTATTTTGCAAAGCCTAGTTGCTCTTAATTTAATAAGTTTTAATGTATACATATCCATTCCGAATTTCACTATAATCTATGGCTCGTTACGGTATGAAAAAATAAAGACACACACACTTACTACATTTATATATAACATAACTTATGCAAGCTTATTTTAGTCCACAATAATGATGCAATATAGTTCATATTTGCAATTGTCCAAATCGTTAGAGCCGTTTCCGAGATATATAAAATAAATTTATATATATACAAGACGTGCTCATTCAATATATTTATCAACATCTTTATATACAATCACAGTTTTTGTAGTAATAGCTATAACAATGACCGATTCCGGCCACGGCGTCCAATCTCATTGAGACTAGCCTACTGCGCAGGAGATATTATAGTGCACAAGTGTACGCGCAGACACAAGTGCATTCTCTACTCATGTCACTCATACTCCGGTGGGACGACCACTCGACACGACCAGTGAGAGTTAAGGCGCAGGACCGACGGCTTTACGTGCTCTCCGAGGCATGGGGGTGAAATAGTAACAGGTAACAAGGTTACCTGTGTAGAAGGTTATTCGAACCTGACAATGAAAACAAATATGTAATAGATTAAAGTATGAATTGAACCTGTGACCCACGGTAACATGGGCTATTGCGCCTCTACAGTAATTAGAAACGATTAATAAAATATTTAACATGACGATTATAGTCATATTAATATAAAGCCATAAAAAGTCCAACCCATTGGTCTCATCAGATACCACACACGCTGACAAATAAACAAAATGTTTCACGAAACTCTCTCGTAACGTTCTATTGAAAAAGCTGACCTTTGCCCTTAATATGTAAGTTCAATTTACATCGTCTAATGCTTTATAATATTTCTTAAAGCGAGACTATAAACCTGTAGAGTGGTAAATCACAGTCAATTAGTGGAAAGTGTTCGGTGCAATGTGCTTATATTTTGGGCCGACTGGTAATATATTTTTTTTAGCTTTTGTATTTCTAGAGTTAATAAATAATAATAAATAAAGACATATATATATATATATATATATATATATATATATATATATATATATATATATATATATATATGTGTGTGTGTGTAGTGCAAGAATAATGTCCGTACTCAAATAAATACTTGTACTAAAAATTCTTAAATCATGTGTAAACATTACCAAAGAATAAATAATAGGTATAGAAGTTTCTGTTTGCGATTTTGTACAAACGAACATATATACATATTTTTATTTATTTAGATAGTATTTTGTGCTAGGTATTCGTAGTTTCTGTTAGAGGATGTTTGTGTATTATCATTGAATTGACAACCATTAAGCATGTCCTGTGTTTTGCATGACTGGAGTACAAACATTCGTGCTCAAATGAATGCCCCTAGCGAGACTCGAACTTGCGACCGGTGGCACAGCAAGTAGGGTCACTACAAACTGAGCCAAGTCGTGTTACTTTCACATTTATAATATTAGATTGGAAGTATTTATTTTAAGCTTTACTTTAGGTCAGTATTAGTGGCTAACAACAATATCACTTCTCCAACGCACAAAATCCTACCCCTTAAGCAGAAATAGCCTAATTCTAATCTCAAGTAGCATGCATTGTAACATTTAATCGAGCCCAATCCACCGCGAATCTAAAACTACCGCCATAAAACAGAAATACACGCAATTTTAGTACTTAATACCTGTATATAAAGGCTTGATTAGGTTTTTAGCATATGCACGATGTTTGTACAGTAATTTGTAATAAGCTATCGACTACAGCTGCGTCCGTCACTAGGGTTGCCAATTTATTTTTAGATAATAAATTTGCGAGGATTATTTGTGAGTGCTAATACGGGGTTATTGCGTCAATCGTTCTGTAGTTAATATGCTAGTGAATGCACCTCGTTTGATTGTTAGGGATGTGATGATCTTTGATGAAACTTTTTATTAATTAATGTCCATTTTGATGAATTTTAAGAATATATTTCATACAAATATACATACAAAATCTTGCAGACGATATAATATAAAAAAATCTAACATCGCTCTTTATGAGTAGTTGTTAATCTGTCGTACTGTCTCGAGCAATAATAAAAGAGATAGTTTTTTTATCGGTAAATTTGTGCTCCGTTCATACGATGTACACTCTACTGTTAATTAATATTAATGCAAAAGTTTGTATGTGTGTGTGTTTGTTACTTTATTGGTTAAAATGGCTGAACAGATTTAGATGAAATTGAGTTCAGAGATAGACTATAACGCGACACATCCAAGCGAAGCGAGAGTAGTATATGATAGAAAGTTACTAAAGTATATAAAACATGTAATAAAGCCTGAGAGAAGTTAGTGCGAGCTTGCTGATAATAAAATCTGCTTGGCGACAACCCTACGTAATTCATTAGTATATACAAATCACCTATAGTTCTGATGGTTAATTTGCCTGCGTCGTGTTTAGACTACACTTAGCACCTACTTTGAATCTTACTTTTTAGTCACATTATGCTCGGACTTAGCGCTTGTCAGTAACGATTATATATACCAAGTGAAATCTCAGATTAAAGATTGCTATATTCAGATATATCTAACTTTAGACTTAAATTAGTTTTTTTTTATTTTTAAATATAAAAAGTGACTAAGGCCACTTGCAATAAATTCTTAATTAGATTTATTTTTATTTAACAATTGTTAAATATATTTAATAGATTTTAATTAAACTAATAATGTTGCCATAAATACAATAGTATTATAAAGTTGTATTTACATATGTAAATATTTTATCTTCACGCATTTTCGTATGATATTTTTCAAAATAAAGGAAAAAAGTATCTATCTACTGTAAAGCACAAAGAGTATTGGTGGTTTAAACAAATAAACACTAAAGCGACAACATAGCCCCCTCAATAAATAAGCTATCTTACAGAAATAATTCTTCAAATCAGACTGTTAGTTGCAGAGATAAGTGTATTAAAATAAATAAACACTTCAGCCTTAATATTTATATTAGAAATAGTGACTTACCCTCGCTTAACTCGGGTTCGTCCCTAGGGATCCCATACAGACTTTCATCCCCATTTTCACCCACTTAAGGATGATTTTAGGGATAAAAACTATCTTATGTCTTATCTAAACTATCCTATCTCCTTCCCAGGGCTTAAAATTATCTTCTTATCAAATTTCATCCAAATCGGTTCAGTAGTTTCGGAGCTTATTCGGCAAGAACAAACAAACAATTTCTCCTTTTATAATATTAGTAATATAGATTAGGTATCAAAAAATAACGCTAATAGTTGGTTCAATTTTTTAGTCATAACTGTCACAAAGCCCATAACAAATCTATTTATAAGTTAATTGTAAACAAAACTTAATCGCCTATTTTCTTTCTACTCCATTGCATCTCTAAGTGCTCATTCAAACATATATTCGATCCCTGGAGCTTTCATCGGCCTTTAATCTCAAACCACTCGTAAATCTTAAGTAAAGCGACTGTTGTTAATGACGAATGGTTTCATTTACTTTTGTGACATTTGGTGTCCGGTTTACTTGACATTTGTGAGTGCAAAAGTATAAAATCGTTAAACTTTTTTTCTTTATTTCGAACAACAAATATGTCGAATTAAAAGTATTTTTGATATTTTTTTGTAATACTCTGTGTTTATATACAGGCAGTGGTAGCTCAGTGGTAACGCGCTCGCTTGGCAAACCGAGTGATGAGGGTTCAAATCCCGGGTCTCGCACCTCTGATATTTTCATGTGCGAATCATTTCTAACATGATTACCACTTGCGTTATGGTGAAGGAAAATATCGTGAGGAAACTTGCATGTCTGAGAGAACCTAGCAAGTTTTCGAAAGACATGTGAAGTCTGCCAACCCGCACTTGGCCAGCGTGGTGGACTATGGCCTGTTCCCCCTCATATCGAAGGCAGGCCCGTGCCCAGCAGTAGGACGTTAAAAAAGGAGCTGAATACACACTCACTTTTTGGGTTGGATTATATGTAGCTGTCCATGCCCTTGTTGTTACTATCTTTTTAGACAACAATTTTGTAGCGTTTGTCTGAATATTGATACTATAGGGATAAGTAGTAATCTATAGGTACATATAATAAAAATCTGAGTCGAATCTGTACATTAAATATTTTTTAAAAATCTTATTGAAATAGTCATTATTATCGATACAGAGGCCGAATCTATAGTTTTTAGAATTTTTGTCTGTCTGACTGTCTTTGACCGCGTCATAAGAGTGCACTGAATGAGACTGCATGATGATGACTACTGGACAGATTTTAATGTTTGGTATGATGATTCTCAACATATAAGGTACTTTTTCTGCGAGAAAATATCTCATCTCTGAGAAATCTATACAAAACGTTAGTATACGAGTATGTATGTATAATGTATATAATATGTAACAAACAACTTAGTCAATTACGTGTGTACTTTACTTTATAATTTTATCGTGTATGTACTAGAATTCTTTGTACAATCTTTGCCTCTCTCTTTAATCTAGTAAAGTAAATTGTGACAGGACGGACCTCAATACATGGCCGTACATGCTTAAAGCTAAACCAAAGAGGCAGTTTTGACGGCTGCGAGTTTTTTATTAGAATTTATCAGGGCTTTAAAGGTTTAAAAGTTTATGGGGAAGTAATAGA